CTAATGAAAAATGTTACTAATCCTATTTTTAAACATCCAACATCTGAATTAAAAAGTATGGCAACTATATTTACTCATTAAATATTTCTAAAACAACCCCAAACTTCCAGCATGCATGTTTAACGTCAGAACAATGGATTCAAGACCAAGTATACGTGTTACATGCATCAAGGCTAGATTATAAATGATCTCAGTCATCATCATCATCATGATCATCATCATCATCATCTTTATGTTTTCTTTTAATGGGTCTGATGATTCATTGGAAGTATTTAGTGATAATAAGAATGTTTTTGGACCCCATTAATAATGGATTAACTGGCACAATCTGAACTGCTCATGTTGCAGGAATTCATACTGTTAGAGCTGGGGGCTGAAGTGGGTATTTGTGTTGTAAATCTTGGCCCTGGGAGGGACACTGGGGTCCTTACCTGAGTTGAATCAGATGGGGCTTGTGGTGCTGGTATGCCTGGAGTGGTCTTGGTCTGCTAGTGACCGAACCAACACTTAACCATGGAACCATTATTCTTTCCACAGAAGTAGATGCCTTTTTTTTGTAAAGACTTAAGTCTATCGTTTAGAGCAGTCAGGCAGTGTCTATCAAGTGGAGCCCTGGCTAGTATGGCTCATGGATTGCAGGCCAGCCTGAGAACCAAAAAGTCCCTGATTCAATTCCCAGTCACAGCACATGCCTGGGTTGCAGGCTGGGTCCCCAGTTGGGGGTGTACAAGAGGCAACTAGTCAATGTTTCTCTCCCTCTTTCTCCTTCCCTTCCTCTTTGTCTAAAAATGAATCAAATCTAAAAAAAAAATCAAGTTCCAAAAAAATCTATCAAGTGGCAATCTAGGGCTTGAATTTGGCTTGATTGATGGCAAAGGGGTTTAATTTCTTTGTCTTGAAAAATCAAATTAAAAAATCTCTTGGGAGAGGACAGGTTAAAAGCTGGTCAGCACAACAATGGATTGCCAATGGCACATCATCTGCATCAACAATAGCTTTCTTAGCATGGCTTAAATAAATTTTTGCAACATTTAGAATTGTGGTCACAAATTGGGAGGCAAACTCCCACATCTGATTTATAACTCTTGCTCCATATTCTGTAGTCCCCATGTTCTTCAGGATTTGTGCTGTCATCTGCACGTCTTTTACACACTCCTGGGAGAAGCCATCTTGCCAGACTCCATGATATCTGGTGATCAGATTTTTTTTCTTTAAATATATTTGATCGATTATGCTATTACAATTGTCCCATTTCCCTACTTCACTCCCCTCTACCCTGCACACTCTCTCCCACCCACATTCCCCCTCTTCAGTTCATGTCCATGTGTCATAAGTTCTTTGGCTTCTACATTTCCCATCCTATTCTTGGCTTGCCCCTATCTATTTTCTACCTACCACCTATGCTACTTATTCTCTGTACCTTTTCCCCCCTCTCTTCTCCTCCCACTTCCCTGTCGCTAACCCTCCATGTAATCTCCATTTCTGTGATTCTGTTCCTGTTCTAGTTGTTTGCTTAGTTTGTTTCTGTTTTTGTTTTAGGTATGGTTGTTAATAATTGTGAGTTTGCTGTCATTTTACTATACATGTTTTTGATCTTCTTTTTCTTAGATAAGTCCCTTTAACATTTCATATAATAAGGGCTTGGTGATGATGAACTCCTTTAACTTGGCCTTATCTGAGTAGCCCTTTATCTGCCCTTCCATTCCACATGGAAGTTTTGCTGGAGAGAGCAATCTCGGATGTAGGTCCTTGCCTTTCATGACTTGGAATACTTCTTTCCAGCCCCTTCTTGCCTGCAAGGTCTCTTTTGAGAAATCAGCTGACAGTCTGATGGGAACTCCTTTGTAGGTAACTGTCTCCTTATCTCTTGCTGCTTCTAGGATTCTTTCCTTCATTTTAATCTTGGGTAATGTAATTATGATGTGCCTTGGTGTATTCCTCCTTGGGTCCAACTTGTTTGGGACTCTCTGAGATTCCTGGACTTCCTGTAAGTCTATTTCCTTTGCTATATTGGGGAAGTTCTCCTTTATTATTCAAATAACTTTTCCACTTGTTGCTCTTCCTCTTCTCCTTCTGGTACTCCTATAATTCAGATGCTGGAACATTTAAAGATGTCCTGGAGGTTCCTAAGCCTCTCCTCATTTTTCTGAGTTCTTGTTTCTTCATTGTTTTCTGTTTGGTTCTTTCTTTCTTTCTTTCTTCTGGTCCACTCTATTGTTTTGAGTACTAGTTTTCTTCCCATCACTATTGGTTCCCTGTGCATTTTCCTTCATTTCACTATCGTAGCCTTCATTTTTTTATCTAATTTGTGACCAAATTCAACTAATTCTGTGAGCTTCCTGATGGTGATCAGATCTTGAGCTAATCCCATGTGAATGTATTTCAGTTTTGGTCTTTATGCAAGATCTTTGCCTAGCATTTTTTTTCCCAAACCCTGGTAAACCTTGCCCACCTCACCCTTCAGCCCTACGCTGCCATGCACTGTGAGCAGGATGCTCTGGCCTTTTCATATTTTCTTAAGCAGTTTTTATAAGGTGAGAATTATGTATTCTTCAAGGTGTTTCTCTCTTTATTAGGCTCTGATATTGTGTTACATTCATAAATTGAACTGAGAAAATTTTCAACTTCTTATATGTTCTAAAGTCAACAGGAATAAATGAGGGCAAGAGTCTCTTCGGAAGTGACTCTGGGTTCCCGGAGTGGATCAGCTGGGTGAGCACTGCAGAGCCAGTTCCTCCAAGGACTGGCAGGGGGACCTGGTGCCACCTGCAGTCTGGTAGAGGAAGTGCGAGCAGTGGCTCCCAGAAGGATCGAGAGACGTCCTTCTTTCACCCTCTTTTCCCCAACCCTTGACTGTTTCCTCAAGGGTTGAGAAGCCCTGGACCATTCATCTAAATGATTTCCAATGGTAGTAGCTAAGGTGGTACCCCAAGGATGGGGACAGAATCCAGACCGTGGCCAAGACAGGATGACATATGATTGCCCTTAGTATAAAACCCAAACTCCTGACCATGGCCCCCAATGCCTACCCCTGATTTTAAGTATTCCTATTTTCCCCCTCCTCACTCAACACCTACCACAATGTCCTTTTTAAATTTCTGTCCCTTAAACGTGGAGAGTTCCTTCTGTTTTAGGTGCTTTGCACTTGCTATTCCTCCTGTCTGAAACATTCCTTCCACAGGTAGTCTGTGGTCATTTCCATCGTTTAAACTCAGCTCAGATTTCAACTCCTCAAAGAAACTTTCCTTGATCACACTATTAAAATACCGTATTTTTTTTCGGACTATAAGATGCACTTTCCTCCCCAAATTTGGTAGGAAAATGGGGGCTCGTCTTATAGTCTGAATGTAGCTTACCTGGCTCACTGTGGGGGGGGGGGGCGGCCTATGTTATTTATATTATTAAGTATTTTACCACATTTTTTGCTTCAAAAAATTTTTTTTCCTATTTTCCTCCTCTAAAACCTCAGTGCATCTTATGGTCCAGTGTGCCTTACAGTCCGAAAAATTTGGTAGTCTCCCGCCCTATTATGCTATTTTTTTATAGCTATTATCACTATCAAAAGTTACATTATCTACTTTGTTTATATACTCAATGTTTCTCTTGTTTCTCTTCCTCCATTAGATATAAGGCCTGCCAGGAGATGCTTGTTTCTCATTCACCCACAGATCCTCAGCGTCTAGATCAATGGCTAACAATGCACACATTTATGTGCCATGATCCTTGTCCTCACAAAAGAATGAGTCTATTAATTACACAATGAATTAACTATAAGTAGAGTGAAGTGTTTGGGGCAGTGGTGCAAGACCCTCTCTTGCACTCTGTTCACTTCTGGCTCCAAGGTCCATTCTATTACTCTGTAGGCAATTTCTGTTGTAAGACTCTGGCTTCCCCTGGAAACTGTTCAGAACTCAGAGGATTCACCCACGAATAAGGCCTTGAAACAGGGCAAGGTGTGTACCGCCAGGCCCAGTTCTCCAAAGTTTTGGGGTCTAGCTAGGTTTCGGGCTGCAGCTGCTGTGTCCCTGTATCCCCTGAGCTAGAACAGGCAACATTGATAGCCAACCTGTGTGGGCTGTGTGCTCCTCCAGTCCCTGCTTGGATCTTTAGCAGGCCTTAGCTTGTGGTCTGGTCTCTACAATTAATGCCTTTACAAGCTCCACTTGATTCCCCATTCTCAATGTCCTCCTTGTTTGCAGGCTGACCTACAGAGGGCGTGGTCCCAACAGAAGCTGAAGTTGGGAGCTGCTTCCACCAAACCTTCTGCTTGTCCTCAGGACCTCCTGTTCTAGAAGTTTCTCCCTCCAGGGAGATCAGGAAGTTTCTTCCCTTGAGAGATAACTTCTTTCAGCTGCTTCCTGCAAAGATTACAAAGACATTCCAAAACGCCTCTTTGTAATCTACACTAATGCAATTAGCTCCGGGCCTAGTGAAGTTTCAGAAAGCTGGGCTCCCGGAAAGCCCCATGAGGCCCCGACCTACAGACACCTCCGTTGAAGGCCGAGCAAGTGAGGGTCCAGATCTCACTCCATCTTGGGACCTCCCGGTACAGCCCCACCTTGTCTGAAAGTACTGGATACATACTTAGCACTTAATGAACAGGAGACATAAATACCCCTAATTCATGTAATAAAAAAATTTAAATGTGCGATGCACGGTGGTAATGTTTTACATGGATTATCAGTACTTCATTTAAGCAGGTCCCATTACAATTTCCATTTTACAGATGAAGAAATGGGTTCAGAAAAATTAAGTGGCTTCATCACAAAACTTGTTGCACTCTTTCATTCCCCCAAATGTAACGGAGCAACGTAGGGAGACAATGCCAGACAGCAGATAGTGCAGGAACACCGGCGAGCTAGTGGGAGCCAAAGACGGTGACACGCTCCCTGCGGTCAGCTGCTTCCAGTCTGTGTTGCGGGAGGGTTCCATTACGAATAAACACAGGCCGGAAGTGTTCCTGTCGGCCGCGTTTCTGATGCACACCACCGGAAGTTTCTGTCCGCGGCTTTGCAGGGTTAGGGGAACGGCCGTGGCGGCTGCTGGGGAGTACAGGTGCGGAGGCTCTGGGGCTTAGGAGGCAGGAGGGCCTCTGCGGAGACCCAAGCGGTGGCACGCAGGCAGAACACGGACTGACCTGGGCCGCCCTCCTAGCGGCTCGCCTCTTCACCCCGCCCCCCGGGGCTGAAGTGGCTCTGCCCCTGATCCGAGCCGGGTCCCTCCTCAGGCACTGACCCTTGACCTCGGGGCGCTCCCCCATCGGGCGCGATGGCTACAGGCGCGGATGTGCGGGACATTCTAGAACTTGGGGGTCCGGAGGGGGAAGCAGCCTCCGGGACCATCAGCAAGAAGGACATTATCAATCCGGACAAGGTAGCTGGGGCGCCTGAGAGCGTTGGGTAGCGGGAGTAAAGTGGTGGGGAGGAGTGGCAACAGAAGAGAGATGGGTGAGAAGATGGGGTGCTACCGTTCCAGTGAGATGGGCGGTGAAAGTGTGACATGACGGGACAGAAAATACGTGCTGCCTTGATAAGATTGGGGGCGTAGGAGGTGGGACACATGTGGGAAATGGTGGGAGAGGCTGCGACACTTGTAAGAGATGAGAGGACCAAGAGAGTGTGACTCTTGTAGAATATTGGGTGGGGGCACCAAGTCGGTGTGACATTCTGAGAGATGGTGGGACAGTAACTTCTGCTCTGACTGGTTGGAACTCTGCACGGGTGACGTGAGGCTGGTGGGGGAGTGACCTGCTCAGACTGGGGGTGCCCTTGTGAGCCAGTGACTGTGCCTTCATAGTGCCATTCTGTGCCTTCGTTATTTCTCATGGTGTGTACGTGCCTTACTGTACCTGTAGGTGCTGGTTTCTTCAGGGATTGAGCTAGGATAAAGAATTTCAGGAAAGGGAGGCTAGGCTGTGGTTCCTCTCCTGTGGTTTCCCTTCGCAGAAAAAGTCCAAGAAGTCCTCCGAGACGCTGACCTTCAAGAGGCCGGAGGGCATGCACCGGGAAGTCTACGCACTGCTGTACTCCGACAAGAAGCAAGTGTTAGGATCCCCTGTTCCCATCCCTGCCCTTCCCCCTCCCCCGTCAGGATTAGAATTTCTGGTCCTGGACCCAGCTGCATGTCCCTAACTTTTACTTTTCTCTGCCAATTCTCTCCTGTGTCTCATCCCACCTAAGGCTCCTGCTTGCTTTGTAGGAGGCAGGAGAAGCTCAGATTTCTCACTCCGGGACCTGACTTCCTGGGTACACCTGGGCCCGAAGGCTCTCTCCACACATTCTGACTCTAACCTCTCACCTCTCCAAACCTTGCTGCCAGGGATGCACCCCCGCTGCTACCTAGTGACACTGGCCAAGGCTACCGCACAGTGAAGGCCAAGCTGGGCTCCAAGAAGGTACGGCCCTGGAAGTGGATGCCGTTCACCAACCCAGCCCGCAAGGATGGAGCTATGTTCTTCCACTGGCGACGCGCAGCTGAGGAGGGCAAAGACTACCCCTTCGCCAGGTTCAATAAGGTGAGCCCCCACCATCTGGGCATAGGCCAAGGTTTCCCACACACTGTGATGAGCCTCCTGCGTGGGCTCCAGAGGCAGGCTCAAGCCTTTGTTTCAACCATGGTCATCCACTCAGTCCCTGTGGCAAATACCTGCAGGGTGTGCCTCTGGGTCCTTTCTGCCATGGGGTCCTGTCCTTCCCCAGACCTGCTCAAAAATCATTGCTCTGGTTTTTGGTGGCTGCTCTTGTCCCTTTAAATGTTGCTGTTCTTTAGAGCTGTGTCCTAGGTGCTCTAGTCTTCTCACTGCACACTTTGTCGCTAGTTGTGACTCATTTACCCTGTGGCTTCAGTTACACTCTGTATGTAGCTGACTAACCACGATGTCGACAATCCAGAGAGGCAGTGTCTGCCTATCCAATCTGTTACTTAACATCTCTCCCTGAAGGCCCCACAAGTGCTTCAGTTCAAGGGGTTTTTCTCTGTTCCCTTCCCCCAGACCTGTTCCCCACATCGGTAATGGCACCACCGTGCAGTCGCCCAAACCAGAAACTTGAGAGTCATTCTTGACTTAGTTTCTCCCTCAGCTCTTACATTATTTCAATCAGCAAGGGGACACAAAATTAGGGGAAGACAGATCAGAAATGTGTAAGCAAATAAATAGGATTCTCTTAGACAAGAGCTGTCAACAAAATGAAACTAGAATAAGAATGGGATATGAAATGAGGTAAAGAGCGAACTTGTAGGTGAAGGATGACCTCATTAATAGGGTGGCGGGGAGGGCCTCTCTGAGAAGGTGGCATTTGAACTGGACTGGAGTGGCAATCAGAGTCCTACTGATTCTGCTCCCATAATAAAGCACATCTTCTGTTTTTCATGCTCTATGTCTGCACTTTAGTCCAATCTGAATTATCTCTGCTTTAGATTAGTGAGACCCAGATGGGGCAGGGCCTTACTCAGAGTGAGCCAGCCAGTGAGAAACAAGGCCGGGCTGGGCTAGAATTTCCTAGGCCACTGTTTAAGAGGCTATACAATATAACTTTGCACTCCCCGCATCCTCAAGCAGCCTTGACTTTGAGCCCAAAAGTCCCAGGGGCCTAACCCAAGGACTCCCAAGTCCCGACCTCTTTTCCCTCAGCCCAACATACCCCCCTGCACCTGGGCACCTCCCCCTGATGGCTCATGGGCTTCTCAGGCTCAGCATATCCGGTGTGACCCATAGTCCTCCCCTGTGCCCCAAGCCTGGTTTCCTCCATCTCCCTGCTGTCCTTGGCCCCTCAGGTCCTAAGGAAGGAGAGGGTAGAGATGCAAGATTGAGAAGGGACAACCAAGAAGTGAGGCATTTGAGGCGGTGGGAGGGAAGGCTGGTTGAGACAGTTAGAAGTGAGGACAAAAGAATGTCCAAGTTGCGTTTAGTAAATATCGCCCCATGCCAGGCCTGGCCCTAGGTGCTGGGGACACAAAAATGAATCAGACATGGTATCTGCTCTTAAGAAACTCCTCATATAGTTGGGGAGGGGTCGGGGGAGCCACAGGCAATTACAGTTTGGTAGGGCATATGCTGTACCCTAGGGTCTGAAGGTTGTGGAAGCTTCCTGGAGGAGTTAGAGCTTGGGGTGAGTCTTAAAGGATGTCACCAGATGATACTAGGAAGGCAGTGCAGTGATTTTTTCAGGCCGAGGTGATGGCATGAGGAAAAGGCACAAATGGAAAAGCAGCCACATGTACAGGACGCTGCAGGCGTTTCCCTGGAGACGAAGCCTGAAGCCCGAGGTGGAGCGTGGTAGGGGTTGAGGGGCCAGGCCTGGCAGGGCTTGGCAGCCGTGCTCAGAAGTTTGGGCTTTGCCCTGATGTCTCTGGGGAGCCCCTGATGGATTTTGAAGAGAGCAGTGTCATGGTCAAGTTTCAGTTTCAGGAAGATGGGGTGACTACCGGCGGAGAGTAAGGTGGAGTTAAGTGAACACATGGGTGAACAAATGGTCTTCCCTCCCACGTTACTCACTCTCGGAGCCCCTCTCTGGGTGGGCGGCTCCCCAGCTGCCCTCCTGCCCAAGCCAGAAACACAGGAGTGACAGCACTTGCCTCCCCGCGCTGTCTGCTTGTCAGCTCTTCGGGTTGCTAATCTAAAGCCTGTCAAGTCTGTGCCCTTTTCTCTGCCTTCCCCTCGTGCTGCCTCAGTTCAGGCCTCTTCACTTCTCACCTCGGATGGCTGTGAATGCGGCCCCACACAAAACTGTAAATTTACTTAAAACCTTTTTTTTGCTCATCAGTTTTCATTAGTGTTTGTGTATTTAATGTGTGGTCCAAGACAACTCTTCTTCTTCCAGTGTGGCCCAGAGACGCCAAAAGGTTGCACACCCCTGGCACAGTTCCTGAGTATTTTACGTAAATGGAATTGAGGTGCACGGTAGGGAGGCTTGACCAAGCCTGGGAAGCCAGATTCCCCAGAGGGGACGAGAAGTGACCTAGGCAGAAGGAATGTGGAAGCGGGAAGGCGTCTCGGGCAAGAACAACAAAGGCTGAGGGGGGTCCGGCATGTCGCAGACACTGCCCGTTGTTGGGCTGGGACGTCGGGTCCGCCAGGGCCCATGGCTGCAGAGAGGTTTTCACCCCTGCGTTTGCTGATTGGCTCCGTGAGTCTTCAGCGGCGCCTGTTGAGTGCCAGGCCCTGTGCTGAGCCCCGAAGGCAGGAAATGAGCCTGACGAGCCTCTGAGGAGCTGAAAGGTGGGTGGCTGGTGGCACATCAGGTGTGTGTGCGAGGACAGTGCTTAGACTCAGCAGCAGGTGTGCATGATGACTAAAGTTGGCGTGAAGGTCTCTAAATGCCTGCTCTTTCTCTACTCACTGGCCATGCACCCGTGATGACGGTTTGCAGACAGCACCGGCCTGCGGGCAGGCCTTTAAGGGGCACTGTTCAGAGATCGCATCTTGGCCGTGGATGGAGGGTTGCTTGGGGGAGGACTGAATGAGGGCAGAGACCATGGGAGGCTGTTTCTGTGGTCTGGGAAAATGGTAGTAGTGGTGGTCTGGCCTGGGGTCGGCAGTGGGGAAGCGGAGAGAGGTTCTGGAGGTAGAAGCCCTGGATTTGGGAGGGGGGAGTTAAGGGTAAAGGTAGGAGTTAAAGATGCCTCCCAGGTTTCTGGTGTGGACACCTGGGTTGAGCACTGGTGACCTTGACTGACATCTGGACTGGAGGAGATAGGAATTTGAGGGAGGGTGATGAGCTGAGTACTGAACATACTAAGTTTTATAGTTTTTTTAAGTTCAGATATAATTGACATGACATTAGCTTAAGGTGTACAGCATAATGATTCAGTATTTGTATGTATTGTGAGACAATTACACAGGAAATCTTACTAATATCTGTCACTTGAACATACTAAGTTATACACGGGACCTCCGTAAGAAGGAAGGAAGCAGCTGGAAGTAAGGATCTTGAGAGGAGGTCCAGGGCCCTGTGGTTTTTGAAGGAGAAACTCCCCTGGTCCAACCTGGCATTGACTTCTTCCTGGGGTCTCTGACTGGCCAGCCCAGCTGGTAGTGGTGGTATTTGTCCCCGACGGAGGTATGGGGGGCAGACTCGGGTGCATGTGTTGGAAGTAGGATTCAGGTGCCTTTTTTGGAGAGCTGTGCGACCTCGGCCCGCTCTGGGGGAGCTGCAAGTCTCACTGTCACCACTGGGTGGCAGGCGTGCTTCAGACAAGTGTTCCATGGACTAGGGAAGCGTGGGCCCTTCTCGAGTATTAAGCCATCTGCCCTCCTCCACAGAACTGCTTGCATGTGGGCTTCTCACCTTGACCATGGGGGTGGGAACACGTGTGCTGTCATGAGGGTCTGGAGCGGAAGGCATGGTGAAGTGGCTCCTGGAGTGGACGCAGAGGCAAGCTACAGTTCTAGACTCGGCCGGGGCCCCTGGTCAAGCAGTTTCTTTCCTCAGTCTGGAAGCACCGCCTCCAGGCTGCCCTGTGCGAGGCCCCAGCCAGAGAATTTGCTTTCGTCCAGCCCAGGGATTGGCAATAAACAGGAGGGGCTGTGGCCACATGAGACGTGATGTGGGCTCGTCCCCACCTGCGCCCCTCTGTGCCACTAGACGGTGCAGGTCCCTGTGTACTCAGAGCAGGAGTACCAGCTCTATCTTCATGACGATGCTTGGACGAAAGCAGAAACTGACCACCTCTTTGATCTCAGCCGCCGCTTTGACCTCCGCTTTGTGGTGATCCACGACCGGTATGACCACCAGCAGTTCAAGGTAAGCTGAAGCTGTGCATTTGCCTGTGTGTTTCGCCCCGGGCCAGCAGGCCCACTGCTCCCCCGCCGGGCCGTCCAGGCGCCTCTGAGGAACGCCACCAACCTCGCGTCTTCATCCCCAGAAGCGTTCCGTGGAGGACCTGAAGGAACGGTACTACCACATCTGTGCCAAGCTCGCCAACGTGCGGGCCGTGCCAGGCACAGACCTTAAGATACCGGTATTTGACGCTGGGCACGAACGGCGGCGGAAGGAACAGCTGGAGCGTCTCTACAACCGGACCCCAGAGCAGGTCAGCCTGAGCCCCACCAACTCTCCTCCATGCCCCAACACCCACTGGCTGCACCCTCCAGTCTTTCACCCCCAGACCCCCCCTCCCCCACTGGTTGATGCCTGTGTGCCTCCCCCCGCCAGTCCTACCCCTCATGGCCACTCAGCTCCCTCATGATCTCTCATTTCTCAGACTCCCTCCCAGATAGCCCAGTGCCCCTGCAGCTCCGTCTCCCCTCACCACCCCCCTCCCCCGTGTGCCTGCACATGCTTCTTAGCATCTCCCTCTCCCAGGTGGCGGAGGAGGAGTACCTGCTGCAGGAGCTGCGCAAGATCGAGGCCCGGAAGAAGGAGCGGGAGAAGCGCAGTCAGGACCTGCAGAAGCTGATAACAGCGGCAGACACCACTGCAGAGCAGCGGCGCACCGAACGCAAGGCCCCCAAGAAGAAGCTACCCCAGAAAAAGGAGGCTGAGAAGCCGGTGTGGAGACTAAATCAGCCCAGCTCAGGGTGGGAGGGGTTCCCTGGCACAGGGGACCCCTAGTGCAGGGGTGTCAGACTCATTTTCACCGGGGGTCACATCAGCCTCACGGTTGCCTTCAAAGGGCCGAGTGTAATTTTAGGACTGTATAAATGTAACTACCCTTAACCAGGGGCAAGGAGCTCGGTACTGCTGCGGGGTAGAAACAAGGTGCTGGGTCGGATAAAACAAGGTGGCAGGGGGCCCTCAGGCCTTGTGTTTGCTACCTGTACCCTAGTGCAAGGCTCTGAGAGGCCTTGAGCTGGCAGGCTTCTGGGACTAACACTGGGCCCTCTCCCTGTGACACCCTGGCCTCTGTAATTCCTCCTCCCCTAGGCTGTTCCCGAGACTGCAGGCATCAAGTTTCCAGACTTCAAATCTGCAGGCGTCACTCTGCGGAGCCAGAGGGTATGTGTCACCTCTGATGTGTTTGGGCCCTGCTTGCTCTGTGGCCCGAATGCTGCAGGCCCCAGGGCTGGAGCAGTAGGGGAGGTTGTGCCATGTGCTATGGGTAGAGGTGGCCTTGGGGATGTGGCCAGGCTGATGTCACAGCTTTCACTATATTGCTCTTGCTATTACCTTTCCTGACCCAGAGCTGCCTCCAGGGGTTAACTTCCCTTCCACTCCGCCACTACCTTCGGTCCCCTTCAGCCGAAGCTGCTTGTGGGGCAGAGGGCTGAGCTGCTGTGTCATTGCAGATGAAGCTGCCGAGCTCTGTGGGACAGAAGAAGATCAAGGCCCTGGAACAGATGCTGCTGGAGCTGGGTGTGGGTGAGCGTGGAGGCTGGGCCCCTCAGGACAGGCCTACCAGAGGCTGCGGGTAAAGGCTGGGGTGGGCAGTCCCCGTTGCTAGCCTTCCAGCACACCCTGCCCCTGCCGCCCCTGCCTGCAGAGCTGAGCCCCACACCCACGGAGGAGCTGGTGCACATGTTCAACGAGCTGCGGAGCGACCTGGTGCTGCTGTATGAGCTCAAGCAGGCCTGTGCCAACTGCGAGTACGAGCTGCAGATGCTGCGGCACCGTCACGAGGCGCTGGCCCGGGCTGGCGTGCTGGGGGGTCCCGTCACACCAGCATCAGGCCCGGCCCCGGCTTCTGCTGAGTCGTCAGTACCTGAATCCAGTCTCGGCCCTGACCCCACCAAGGACACCATCATCGATGTGGTGGGTGCACCCCTCACACCCAATTCGGTAAGAGCCTGGACAGGCTGGAAGAGTGTGAACTGGTTCTGCATGAGAGCACACGCACGTGTACAGGCTCTGCTCCCTCTAGTGTCTACAGTGGGGATTGTCACTCTGAGGGGCTGAGACTGTGGTGGGAGTGGGTGGTCAGTGTGAAACATGCACACCAAGCCTGAATTGGACCTCAGGGGTCATTGATCTCAACACCTTCTGTGTCTCCACAGAGGAAGCGACGGGAATCGGCCTCCAGCTCCTCTTCTGTGAAGAAAGCCAAGAAGCCGTGAGGGGCCCCCATGGGTGGGGCAGTGCTGCTGTGTAAATAGAGCTGCTGAGTTGGACTGGGCTGCTTCCTTTTCCTTCCCACCACTTCCGATGCCCCTGGCTGGGTGCGTGGGCAGGAGGGGGTCCCTACACCCACTTAATGGGTGCCGGTGGGGCTTGTCTGCATGGATGTCCTTAGTAGCCAGCCATCTATCACTAACCAGCATTCATGCTGCCCGGACACCTGTGCCTGGGAACACCCGTGGTTCTGCACGCATCAGGGCTCACGGGCAGCAGTGGCCTCAGACCCAGCAGCTTCCAGCAGCCTTGTGCTCAGTCCCTGTGGCCATGTGCACACTCATTGAGGCTGTCAGAGGTACTTCGGTAACAACTAGCCACACGGGTGGCCTTGAGCCCACAGCAGCCCGGAACAAGCTCTGACCCCTACCCTTCCTGATGGCGCCAGGCACGCACACCCAGGGCCTGTTTCCCCGACTTTATTCAGCGGCACGTTCACAACGGGGATGGGGTGGACACAAGGTGGGGCCTGACCTGTCCTGGAGCCCTGGGGGCACCACACACCATGCACTACGGATAGGAGGGGGCACAGGGGGGCTTGGTGGCCCCAGCAGAAGCCTGTGTGCCAGGGAGGAGGCGGTGAGTGCCTGGGTCGCCCTAGCCCAGGCCCGTAATGGGAGGGGCTGATACTGGGCTGAGGTGGAGGGGTGGGGGTGGGGGCCACAAAGTATCTGCTCAGGAGGGACCAAGTGGCCAAGCCCTTGCCTAGGGTGCAAGCCCACAGGGCAGGCTGGGGGACACTCTGTACGTAGCTCTGCGCTACTCTCCCTTTTCCCCTCTGGTGAGGGAGAGGAGGGTTCTGGGCTGGGCCAAGCAGCTACCCTGTACTGCCCCATCCTGTCCTTGGCCAATCAGAATGGCTTTGATGTCTGCTTGAAGATGAAGCCTCGATATGCAAGTGTCTTCATGATGTTGGCGATGTTCTTGCAGTCATCTAAAAAGAGGAAGGGAAGACATTTAGATGGGCCCCAAACCCTCCCCTTCTATGCCCACAGGTTCTCTCACATGGGTGGGGGTGGGAAGCAGGGTCAGATGCAGGAGCTAGACTCTAAACCAGGGGCCCATCCCCTCGTGGCTGCACCTCCAGCTCTAGGTTGGGGTGGGCGATGCCGGCCCGGCAGGAAGCCTGGTCTCAGTGCTTCTCAGTCCCATAATTCATGCTGGAAATTGGCCGGCGTGTCCCGCCCCGGCCCCAGCAGTGATGTATGGGCGCCGTCGCAGTAAGAAAAAGGCAGAGTAAATGTGTAATTTCTCCCTTGACGGCCCCCGGCCGCTGGGCGATCCTTCTTGTTGCCGCCGCGTGGGGACGGCCTGTCCGCCACACTCCGTCTTCCCGCCACCCGCCTTGATGTCTCCATTTCATTACTGTGCGACCATTCATCACGCCCACGGCCAGGGTGACTTTGCCAGCACTTGTGTGTGTGTGTGGGAGATGTGGCCCAGGCCATCATCACTGGTGACAAGGCACAAGCCTTGGCACTTCTGGGCCAGGGCCCCGGATGACACCTGCCCCTATGCCGCCCCAGGCCAGTGGAGAGCATCCGGCTTTGGTTCCCTGGCACCCTGGCCGGCAGCCTCCAACCAGATACACCCAAGCCCATGTCCTGTTTCCCCCAGCCCAAGTGCCGGTCAGGCTTTAGCCCCGCCAGGCTGCATCTCAGCTTAAATGTGTTGTCTGCCAGCCTCTCATGGCAATTCCATCAGCATCATTCCCCATGTTCAAAGCTGTCCTAAAACCCAGCGTCATGGGCCAGGGTGAGACTGTCCCCACCAGCAGGAGGCGCAACTGCCCAGAGCTTGGCCCACTACAGTGCACCTGGCACAGAAATGGCCCGAGTGCCTGGGTGTTCTCCCCACGGCCCAGAGCAGCCGCCAACTCCCCATCCCTTCCCCAGCCTCTCCTCCCACCTCACTCTCCTCCACGGCTGCCCCTGGGCCATAACCAGGGCCTCTGCCACCACCAACCCTCATGGGATCAATGGCTCTGACAGCAGAAGTACTGTATATCAATGTCATAGTCAGAAATGTGAGGGGTGGTAAGGTCAAGGTGGGGTCAGGAGGCCTTCACAGCTATCAAAGACCAACCCTTTCACTGAGCCACGGGGCCCCCCACCTGTCCTTTCCAGGACCTCAGACTAGGGAAGGGGGTCCAACCGGAGCGAGAAAAGTCGTGAAGAGTGGATAAGGCTCTAGTCAGCCAGCCACCAGCTCTGCAGCCCCGGCACAGGCCGGATACACCACACCAGGCCCGTCTCGTAGAGCTCAACATGCATGTGTCGATGGTGGGCATGGACGTGGAGAGGTGGCCCAGGGCTGAGACACAGGGACACCTTGTTCTTCCAGGGACTCAGGAAGTCACGAGGGTTGGTCTGAGGCAGAACAGAGGGAAGACAGATGGGTAGGTAGTGGCGGCCATGGCAACTCCAGACGTGACCCGTCCCTGTGGTTTATGGGCCGGACACACGCCCCGCTCATCGGAGGCCCTGTCATTTGTCTCCCTTAGCGTGTATGCCTGTGCTGTTGGGGGGGGGGGGCTGTGACAGGAGGTGGGCAGTTGACAGGGAGTGGGGTGGGAGGGGCGGGGCAGGAAGAACACTGGGCGGGGGTGCGGTTCATGAGGGCCCAGGGCTGTGACAGGGTCACTTCTTCCCGAAGAAGGCTTGTCTTGTCAGGCACCGCCTACCCTTCCTGTCTCCTGCACTTGGGGACCATGGCCGCTCTGCATATTAAGAATAAGTCCCCTCGTTATCTGCAATTACCCAGCAGCCACACACCTCATTTCTTCCAGCAGAAGAGAAAATTAGTTTTCTATTGACTTCATCTGGCTCCTCCCTCACTGCTGGACAAATCGCTCAATCTGCCTCCCCCCGCCCAGGAGAAAGCGCCCAGCCCCTTCCCTCAGGTCACCAGCCATCCAGAGGGCAAGCACTGACCTCCCACCTGTGCCTCACCCCGGGCTGGGAGAAGATTCATGTGCCCGTCCGCGTCCTTGACCTCTCCCAGCTGGAGTGACACCAGATGGAGTGTCAGCGACCCAGAGGCGCCCCGTCCCTGCCTGCGGCTCTCCCCGAGCTCCAGACCAAGGGTCCAAATGCTGCAACGGCGCTTTCTAGATACCGACACAAACTCCGGACCCCTGTGATCACCTGCCTGTCTCCCCCAGGCCTCTCTCCTGCCCTGGGCCCCCTCTCAGTGACAGACCCCCCAAATGGCCAAATGAGAAACCTGCAAGTCAGGCCTGACACCTTGCCTTCTCCCTCACTCCCCAAATCTACTCAAGTGTGAACTACCGATTTTATTTTATTTTCCGTCTAATCATCTACTTCCCATCATTCTGGCAGGCCCCTGCCCCCCTCCCACCAGCCCATCATTTCTCACTTTTACAATAAGGTGTCCTCTTTTCCTCTCTAATCCATTCTCTTGTTGCCTTAGTAATCTTTCTTACACAAATCTGATCACATCCTTTCCTCTTTAAAGCCCTAACCCCTGTCTTCCACTTCCTATTTTCTGACAATGACAGAGTAGGCTCTGGAGTGAGACCTGTTTGGAGTCTTAACTTTGCCCACTGGCTGCATGCCCTGCGGTGAGCAGTTGCTCCGAACCTCAGGTTCCTCCACTAGGGGTGACAGGGGGTGCTGCCTCAGTGTGACAAGGGTTGAACAGGTGATGCACCCACGTGTCCTAGTGCTTCCTGTTTGAAATATCTCTTCTCTTCTCCAAGGGAAGGCAAGGAGGCTAGCTCTCTGGACGACCTGATGGTGAGGAAGTCTACACTGTACAATCTATGGCACAGGTAACGTAGGGGCTGGCAAACTTGATGAATGAAGCCAGCCGTCATTCACGCCGCTAACGCTGACTGACTGCTGGTGCCGTGTCCCGGGGCTGTGGGGTGTACACTGCTGTGACTGCTCCACCACCATGACGAGAGACCCAGACTGAGAGAGACCTCGCTTCAGTCCACCTGGCAAGTCAGTGGCACAGCAGCACAGGCTCCCAGTACGGGCTCTCTCCAGCCTTCCAAGCCTCCGTAAGAGTCAGTGCGACCCACTCACGGCTAGTTTAATCAATGCCACAGATGGAAAACGAGGAAACTGGGCAGAAGCAGCACAGAGACAGACCTGGGTCTTCCAACAGGCCGTATGAGCAGAGAGCGGCAGCAGCTGGGTGAGCCTGGTGACCGCATGGCCTCTCAGGGTCCTCTGCTCTGATGCCCTGGGGCCACCAGGACCAGCAGCCCCACCTTGTGGCACCTCTCACTGAGCTGATGAGGTGAGCTTGAAGCTGTTACTGGGTGGGGGGCCGGGGAGGTAGGCCTCCAAGAATATCTTCCTCATTCCAAATCCTAGAAGTCTAACCTGTTTTATGTTCCTGCATGGTCATCAACTTGTGAAAAAAGTGACCCTCTTCTCTTCTTCTCATGGGCATTAATATTCTTAACGTTGGAAATATTTTTATACTGCCAAGACCACAATGGGGAGGGGGAGAGTGGTCCAGAGCCCTTGGAGAGGTGAGGGGAGCTAGTGCCTAACGAAGGGTCAGCTCGTTGGCTGGGCCTAAGGGGGGGCCCTGTGTCTGCTCGGTGAAGGAGCCACTAGTGGAAGGTGGCTCGGGTCACTGAGGACAACCCGTGAGAGCTCACAGAGGGCAATCACCTGAGGCTGACGTGCTCCAGATAGCTACCACCTGTCTGGGAATTGAGCAATAAAAGACAGGGAACAGGGCCTAGGCCGGGGCCACCCCCAGGAGGGAAGGGGCCCAAGGAATGTCTTGGAGGACTGGTCATTCCTTCAGCCAGCACACTGACGCCTGTGTGCCGCTGGGTGCTCGTGGCCACGGCGGGCGCAGGGCCGCACAGGCTCTGCGGCTCCCTGCCCTCCGAGAGCGCAGACAGACCTGTAGGTGGTGCAGTGTGAACAGTGCTGTGAGGAAAGGAGGCACAGAAAAGGTCTCTCGTTCAGGGTGAGGATCAGGAAAGGGTCCCCGGGAGAACAGGACGAAGTTAAGCAGAGGTTCCAGGGCCACGTGGGAGGGGCTGGCAAGCAAGCTGGAGGTGAGGCAGGGGAAGCGTCCTTGCGTAGTGAACAGCACAGGCACGTTCCAGAGGGGAATGTGCAGTGTCCAAAAACAACAAAGTTTGGCAGGTAGCGAAGGGGTGTGATGAAGAGGAGGAGGCAGGAAAGTGAGGGGCAAGAGATGAAGCCAGTGAGGTCAGCAGCGACTGGCCAGAATTCTTCACGCTGGAGAGCCCTGAAGTCTACGCTAAGGAGCTTAGGATTTTATTATTTGGGGAATGATAGGGAGACACGTGTTTAAGGAGGAGCATAACTGGACCAATCTGTGTTTCAGAATTATCATTAGACTAGTCCTCAGGGCAGAGACACCCATGAGCAGACGGCACAATGGCCCAGGCCAGAAGTGCGGGCCCGGAGCTTGGCCAGTGGTGGAGGAAACCCGTCCGTGATGTGGAGAAGTGGGTGGAGGCGAGGTTTTTAGGAGATACAGAGAGCAAACCTTAATGAGGGGGTCGGAAGGGCTGGAGGTGGGAGGAGTCTAGGACCTCAGTGCCACGCACTGGGGGAAGGCAAACCAAGAGAAGGCCCAGGTTTGAGGCGGTGACGAACTTGGCTCTGGACATGGCACGTCTTGAGGTTCCCACGGGACATCGAGCTTACCAGACATTTCCTTCATGGCTTCTCGACTTTGTATCTTGCTCTAGAACACCTTACCCACCCCAGTTTTATTAGAAAACTATCATATATTTTCTTCTAATATTTTCAGTTTGTATACTTTTTAAGCTGTCTGGAACTTGTTCTGTACATGGGGAGAAACAGAGGCTCTAACTTTCTCACTAGTGGACAGCCGGCTGTCCTATCACCGCAGACTGAACTGTCTGCACTTCCCCCTCTCCTTGAAACGACGCCTCCATCACACGTA